CAGCTTTACCTTGGGCTTCCATTTTGGACCCAGTCCCTGTGGCAAAGAAAAACAAATTAGTATAAATCCAGATCTAGCTCAGCATTCAAACTCCCACCTTACCCTTCGGCCAAAATAAGCTTTTCCTATTGCCACAATCCCCGCCATTCCCTATTACCCTTCATCCACCTGCTTTATTCCATTTAACTTTCCTGCCTGGGCCTGAAGCATCTGAGCATGTGACTCTGGGTGAAAACATCCTGCCTTCTTGGGGGTGAATCCATGTCGGCGTCTTCTCTGTGCCCCTGGTACCCAGCCAGGTGGTGGCAGAGATCAGGAGCTCCAGAAATGAGTGGGGAAGGAGGGAAGGACCGACTTGGAAAGCCCTGAGAGGCGGAGTGCAGAGGATGGAGCCTCTCCTGGCCGCCCCGGAGAGGTCTGGGAGGGGGGAGCTGAGAAGCAGAGGTGTGGCAGTTCCAGCCCAGTGCTCTGGGATCAGACTGTCTTGGTTTGAATCCCAGCTCCCCCCTCTCTAGGTGTGTGCCTCAAGCTTTCTGTGCTGCAGACAGACATCTGTAAAATAGGGATAATAATTATACCTCCCTTAATAAGTCTTAAATGAGATGTAAAGCTTGGGCGCCTGGGTGGCTCAGCTGGTTGGGTGGCTGCCTTCGGCTCAGGTCGTGATCCTGGAGTTCCGGGATCGAGTCCTGCTCAGCGGGGAGTCTGCTTCTCTCTCTGACCCTCCCCCTCTCATGTTCTCTCTCTCTCAAATAAATAAAATCTTTTTAAAAAAATGAGATGTAAAGCTCATGACACTGCCATGGTAAGCACTCAGACAGTAGCCAGTATTATGACTTGCCATTTACTAAGGGCCTGCTGTGTGCCAGGAGCCAGGGGGCATCAAGATCATTTGGATGATCTCTCCAGTGCAGAGACTTGTCCAGGAGGAAGTCACACTCCAAAGCTTCTCCTCATCCACATGACCTGATTTTTTGGCAGGGGCTGGACCACTTCTAGCTCTTGAGCAAAGTTCGAGAAGAAGGCTTGAGGGAAATCCCAGGTCCTCGGGGCCACCCCCTGCCTCCGTAGTTGGTGGGGCCCAAGGCTGGGAGAAGGGTTTTTGGTGTAGTCTCTCTGCTCTCAGCCTGGCGACAAAGAGTGGCTGAAGGTTTCCTGGGACCGGGAGGTGCTTGGAGTCCCCTCTACCAGAGCCTGGGGTGCCTTTGTCCCCTGGTGAACTGCACCCCCTGCTGGAGTTCTGCACCTTCAGCTGGGCTGGGTTCCATCTGCAAGGAGGATGCGAGGTGTGGGCTGAAGAGTCAGGGCGTGTATGTTGGGGATATCAGTCAGGAGGAGGGGGTTGGACTGGGATTGCGTGGTGGTCAGGAGGCTGCACTAGATGGATGTATGACGTACAAGTTATGTGAACATCACGTGTGTGAGAGGCAGTGCTACTGGGTGTATGCTGTGTGCGTGTTGTGTGCGAAGTGTGGTGTGGGATGCGTGGGCTGAGGTGTCAGGGGTCATAAGTTGGAGGTGATGCGGGAGGTGTGAAGTGTTGAAGAAGTGTGTCTGTGCCGCGTTGGGGTGCATGATGAGCAGGAGTTGCAAATAAGGTAGATGTGCGGAGGATATGTAGCTTCTGAGGTACACAGTGTGGTTGGTGGGTGTGTTGGGAAATGTAAAGAAAAAACAAAATCTCCCAACGCTGAAAACCTCCACCAAGGTAGCAGAGACACAAAAACAATTTTTGGGGGAAAGATTTTATTTACTTATTTGCCAGAGAGAGAGAGTGTGTGTGAGAGCACAAGCAGAGGAAGCTGCAGGCAGAGGGAGAGGGAGAAGCAGACGCCCCACTGAGCAAGGAGCCCGAATCAGGACTCGATCCCAGCACCCTGGGATCATGACCTGACCTGAAAGCAGACGCTTAACCGACTGAGCCACCCAGGTATCCCCACAAAAACAGTTTTTATTATTGAGAGCATTAAACCAGAATGTGATGCACATAACAGGCATTATCCTGAAGAGTAATACTGTCATGGAGCGCCTGCGTGGCTTTTGGTTGAATGTCTGACTCTTGCTTTTGGCTCATGTGGTGCCAGGTCCTGAGACTGGCCCCGCTTTGGGTTCTGCACTGGGCGTGGAGCCTGCTTAAGATTCTCTCTCTCTCCCTTTCTCTGCCCCTCCCTTCCCGCTCACTTGTGCACACACTCTCTTTCTCTCTAAAAAAAAAAAAAAAAATACTGTCAGTTATTCTTCCAGCAAAAATGGGTTTAATCAGGAATAGCAGAGAAACGTTACCCAGGACGTGCAAGCTCTGACAAAATCATAGGAAATGCTGGAGAGGAACTGCTCTTTTATAGCGGGAAAGGGGGGAGGGGATTTGGAAGGGGTTGTTATAAACAAAGAGTCCACTGGAGTGAACTGGGAGGCCCAAGCATAGTGGCTTCTCATTGGCTGAGTTGTGATGGCCTCACATTGGCTGGGCTGTTGCTGGGTGAAGGGAAAATCTTCTACTGGGTAGGCTTTTTCCTCTTGCAAGTACAAGCTAAGTCTTTCTCTCTCTCTCTTTTTTTAATAAGCTGTTTCTTGTTGGTTCTGGAAAGGTCTGCAAGGAGTGATAGGACATGAGAGGTCCCCTCTCTGGCCTCCCAACTTTTTTTTTTTAAGTAAGCTCTGATGAGGGATAGAAGCAGAGAAATGTTCATCTTTAGCCCAGAAGGCTGATCTAAAGCCTGCGTAGTTCCAACAAGGATCAAATACATGCTGGCTGCTACGTCCTTTTTTTTTTTTTTTTTTTGGCGACTACATTCTTAAAGGGTCTCATGATTGTCTGTACATGTCACCAATAGTTAATATCGAACTGAATGATAAGCACCAGAGAAATCTCGTGAAGGTAGTTTTACAAGTAGAAATTCAAAGAAGAGGGGCACCTGGGTGGCTCAGTTGGTTGAGTGCCTGACTCTTGATTACCCCTTGAGTCATGATTTCAGGGTCCTGGGATTGAGCCCTGTGTGGGTTCCGAGTGGGGCTCTGTGCTCAGTGAGGAGTCAGCTTGAGATTCTCTCCCTTACCCTCTGTCCCTCCCCCCCACCACCCCTGCCCTGCGTGCTCTCCTTTCCTCTCTAAAATAACTAAATAAAATCTTAAAAAAAAATCTGAAGAAGACATTGATGATTTAATATTCCCTGCATGTCCCCTCCCCCTTGAACACTAAGCATATAACCACCAGCTTCATACAGCAAAGATGCCGCTCTTTCTGCCCACAGGTCTTGTCCCTGTGCTACAATAAAAGCACCGTTTTGCACTGAAAACATCTCAAGAATTCTTCCTTGACCACCCACTCGTGGCCCCACATCAAGCTCTACGTCCAAGGTGGAGCTTGAACTCAGGACACTGAAATCAAGAGTCGCATGCTCTACCCACTGAGCCAGCCAGGTGTCCCCCAACTTCATTTTGAATACGATTTTTTTCCTTCAGTTTCACATAAGGAATTCTACAGGTAGCCAAGCAGGTACAACCCCTTATCCTGTTTACAAGATAAAATTTCAAAACCCATATCTTGTTTCCAAGATAAACAATAACTAGGCCTCCTGTAAGAGGATTTAGCAACACCGTTTGTCCCGTATAGTGCACCCTAACTTTATCATGGCCATTGGCTTTTATCCAGGGGAGAAACAAGCTTCTCACTAATCTATGACCAGAGGTGGTTCAGTGTCTAGCAGCAAGACCCCCACCGAAGTTAGGCTGTTATTCTTCCCTGAACGGGGGAGATCCGGAGCTACCTCCCTAGATGTTTGCATTTCAAAAAGATGACTTCCAGCTCCAGGAGTCCCTGAGTTATGAGAATTCCTAGAGGCCGACTTAACCACGGTAGAGATTTACATACATTTGAAAAGGATCAAGAAAGAAATTCTGAAACAGAAGCCGGGAGGGGGGAAGTCACACGCCTTCTTTTCTTAGTTTTCATCTGGATTTGCCCGTCCAGGTGTTGTTTGCGAAGCGTGTTGTGCTTAGGTGTGTGCTGTGGGCGGGTGTCGCGTGGACGCGGGTTATGTTGACATTGCGCGTGAAGCTGGTCAGTAGGCGTTGGGTGCGAGGGAGGGTATGTGTGATGTGGGAGGTTTTTCAGAGTTGAGTGGGGTTGAAGTGCTGGGCTGGGGTGTGTTCCGTGTGGATTCTGCACATGAGGAGGGGCATGCGCTAGGGGGTGGCGATGAGTGGAATTACTAAGCCCACAACCTGGTTGCGGTGAACAACAACGAGGATACCCCAGAGGGCTAAGGCCGAATTCCACGGTGGTTTTTTCGTTTTGTTTTGCTTGTTTGTTTTTAAGTAGCCTCCACTGTGGAGCCCACCGCCCGGAACCCACCACCCCGAGATCAAGACCCCAAGATCAAGACCTGAGCTGAGGTCTCGAGTCAGAGGCTCAAGGCACTGAGCCGCCCAGGGGCTCCGAATTCCGCGGTTTCCTAAAAGCAATTCTGACGGGAGCCTGGCTGGCTGAGTCGGAAGGGCCAGTGACTCTTGGACTCAGGGTTGCGGGTTTGAGCCCCAATTTGGGTGTAGAAATTACTTTTAAAAAATGATAGTAGATAAATGAATAAAATAAAAGCAATTCGGGAGGCCTCCCTCCTCCACCTTGTAGTCTGAGGGCTTAAGGACTACAATTCCCAGGATGCTCCGTTCCCCCACCAACGGGGAACCCAGATCTCTAATTGGAGGGCCTGGAGTGGGCTGGTCAGGAAGGAGGCAGCCGACCAATGGGTGAGCGGGGACGACTCGAAACCCAGGCTGATTGCGCCGAGGCTGGTTGGAATCTTTGGCGCTTTGGTTTCAGTGGTGGATACTTGATGGGCGGGAGAGGCGACCAATGAGAAGGCGGGGAGGAGGACCCAGAGGGTGAGGGCGGGGAGAGGTGTTGACTAGCAGACGGTTCACCCAATGACGGTCGGAAGTCGCTGGAGGGGGCCGGGCGAGGCGTCTAGAGGCGGGGGACTGCGGTCGGCGGGTGTAAGCTATGGCGGAGCCGGTGAGGAAACGGGGCCGCCGGCCTCGGGGTGGCGGTGTCGGCCGAGGGGCTCGCGGGGCCCGGGGCGGCCGGGGCCGGCGTCCTCGCGTCCCGCGGTCTCCAGCCCAGCACACCCTGGACTCGGAGTTTGTGGACTTGGTCAGCGACAGCGATGAGGATATCCTGGAGGTCGCAACGGCCCGCGGCGTTGCGGACTCGGTCGAGGACCCTCTCCCGGAGCCCCCAGTGCCGGCCGCCCCCCGGGACGACAGCGACAGTGACAGCGAAGGAGCGGACGCACCGCCCGCCGGAGCCCCGGGGGCCCCGGTCAGGCGGCGGCGGCGGCTACTGCTGGATCCGGGGGAGGCACCGGTTGTTCCGGTGTACTCCGGAAAGGTGCAGCCCGGTCCCCGGGAGGACTAGCGCAGAAGGGCTGGGTTTGGGGACTGCTGGAGGTTAGGCTTCTGGGGTTGGTCTTGGGGGACTAAATGGAAGCAGGGATTGGGGCAGAGAGATGCAGGGTTTCTGAAGATCGGAGAGGTGAAGGGGTTTGGAGTGTGTTGGGAGTTTGGGATTCCGGGGAGCTGGAGTGTCGGGAGCAGAGAGAGGCTTAGGGGCTGGGATCCCTGATGCTTCAGAGAGGGGCTGGCAGGACCTGGGACTGGGATTTGGGGCGTGTTGGGTTTTGAGGTTGGGGCCCATTGCTAAGGATCCAGGAAGCTGGGGTCGTGGAAGTTCAGAGAAGACTGGGGACTCCAGGTGGTAGGGTGAGCTAGGGATCTGGGATTTCCCAGGATTCGGAGATAGCAGGGTGGCTAGCAACCTAGTAAGAGGGTAAAAGAAGAACTAAACTTGCATCCTCAGAATGCCTTGGGGAAAGGGGGTGTAGTAGTAAGTAGACTCCAGTTTTGGGTCTTGGGGAAGCTGGGCTTCTAACTCCCCCAGAGAGGGCTTGGACTTGGGAGTTGGAGGAAGGGAAGAGTCATCTTGTTTTCCCTTTCAGTAGAAGGAGGACTTGGGGCTGATGCAATTTTGTCTTTACAGGTGAAAAGCAGCCTTCATCTCATCCCAGATCACCAGTCTCTCCTGAAACTCTGTCCCCCAGAGGCTGAGGAAGGTAGGGGCAGGCTTCCAGGGAGAGGCGCCTAGTTTGGGCCTCCCGGAGGAAGCTTCCTGGAGTTTACATCCCTGCGGTCCATTTTTCCCTGAAAGCTCAGGGGAAGGGCATGGGAGAGGTGACGCCTGCATCGTAGCCAGAAACACGCTCCAGTCCTGAATTGAGATGGAGCGTTAACCAGGAGGCAGCATAGGAAATGCTGCCAAACCACCCTTCCCCCCACCTGATAGGCACAAGAGTGTGCTAATCTACAGATTTCTAGGCCATCTCCAGAGATTCTGATTCTGTAATCCTGGGGGCCCGGGAGGAGGAACTGTTGAGAATCTGTAACATCTTGATACATCTGCAACAAGTTCCTTGGGAACATTCTGGAGCCAGCGTGGTGTTCTTTGAGTCTTATCAGGGCTGCCAGCCTTGGTCCTCCCCCAGTGATGTGGTTTTTGCACACCACCCAAAGGCAGTGAGTAGGAATCAAGTTTAATAAGGAATTGCTCCAGTGGGCAAATGCAGACCTTGGACCGAGACTTCTACGCCATGAGCAAGTGTGGTAGGACGATCAAGAGCTGATTTAGGAACCAGCTGGCCTGGATTTGAATCTCAGCTCTACCCTTTAGTAGCTAGCTGTGTGACCTTGGGCAGGTTCATCTCTCAATGCTTCAGTTTTGTCATCGGGAAAATGGGGATAACTGTGGACCTATGTCAAAGGATTTTGGTGAGAGTTAATTAAAGAGAATACGTAGAGAGCCTTCTCTTGGGCCACATATGTGGTTTAGGACAGTAGCTGGAGCGTACAAGTGAAAAGGTACCTCTGCCCTTGCTGCTCCAAATGTAGGCCCAGTAGTTCTGGGCATCTCCCGGGGGCTTGTCAGAAAGGCAGAATCTCGGGTCTGTAGCAACTGCCACGTTTATCGAGGACAGGGTTTCTCAGCCTCAGCACTACTGACATTTGGACTGAGCAATTCTTTGTGTGGAGCTGTCCTGTGCATTGTGGGACGTTCAGCAGCATTCTGACCTGTGCCCACCAGAGGCCAGTATCACACACTCTAACCCCTTCCCCTCACTGTGACAACAGAAGTTGTCTTGAGACATTGCCGCATGTCCCTTGGGAGGCGAAATTGCCTCTGGTCTAGAACCGCTGATCTAGGATTTATTATCATTGCTTTGTTTCTGCAGTATTTATTTTTATGATTAACGATGATCCTTTGTTGGTGGCAAACAAATAGAAAAGAGCCTCTATATTCTAGACTAAATCTCTAGTTTCCTCTTAAAAGAAATTTTAGTTACAGTGAAGGATCTAAAGAAAGATATTAAATATTACGGAGGTATGGATGGCAAGATGTGATAGTGATGCTCACGTGGATGAAATTTGAGAAACACGGGCTCAGAGGGCTCGTACTTATCTCTTTACATCGTTCCCTCCCTGTGCCACGCCACCTCCTACCCCATGCTCCCTAGTCTCTCTCTGCCCATCCGATCGAGTACAAGAAGGAAATAAGAGAAACTTTTTTTTTCTTTAAGATTTATTTATTTATTTGAGAGAGAGAGAGAGAGCACACAGAGGGGGAGGGAGAAGCAGACTCCTCACTGACCAGGGAGCCCAATGTGGGGCTTGATCGCAGGACCCTGGGATCACGACCTGAGCCGAAGGCAGATGCTTAACTGACTGAGCCACCCAGGCCCCCCAAGAGGAGCATTTAAAAAAAAAATCCTTTGCCAACATCTGCTTTTGAAGTGTGTTTTATCACATACGTAATGGTACATACATGTGTAATAAGGAGTACACGTGTATTAGGTAAATACATATTTCCTAGGTTATGTGTATTTTTTATTTGTGGGATGCAGCTGATCAAAAAAGTGAGGAGAGGGGCGCCTGGGTGGCTCAGTCGTTAGGCGTCTGCCTTCGGCTCAGGTCATGGTCCCAGGGTCCTGGGATCGGGCCCCACATCGGGCTCCCTGCTCTGTGGGAAGCCTGCTTCTCCCTCTCCCACTCCCCCTGCTTGTGTTCCCTCTCTCGCTGTGTCTCTCTCTGTCAAATAAATAAAATCTTTAAAAAAAAAAAAAAAATGAGGGGAGATTAAGTTAATCATAACTTAGTTGGAGCGGGCCACTTTGTGACTGTCCGCACTCAGCATGCCGGCTCGTGCCTTAGCACGGGGCTCAGACACTCCTGTTCTGGCAGACCCCAGCTCATCCTTTTCTCTGCAGCAGGCATTTCCCTATGACTTCCAGCACTTCCCCAGCATTATTGCGTGGTTGTGTGTGTTTGCACGTATGCGCATTTTGGGGCTCCTCAGTCTCCTCCTTTCTCGGGACCTTGTGAAGCCCCTGACATGCCTCAGTTTGGTCTCTTGCTGCCCTCCCTTACCTGACCTCTTTCACTTTTCTTCCTCTGTCCCCAGAGACAGAGATGGCAGATTCTAGCAGTCCCCATGCTGAGGATGCCCCGTTTCCAGATTCTCCCTGGAAGAAGAAGCTGAGGAGTAAGGATGCAGAAGAGAAGACAAAGGAGGTGTTTCTGTGAGTGAGGCCGGGGCACTGGGGCCCCCGGAGCAGAAAGGGAGCCGGAGGGGTAGGCTGAGGTGGGCAGGATCCTCAGGTGGCTCCTGAAAGGGTAAGGGGAAGGGATGGAGGGAGTGGAGGGAGTCTCCAGGCTCAGGCGAGGACTAAAGTTCTTGGGAGGAGAAGTGGTCCCTTCAGGGAGTGGAACGTTTCATCTCTGTGTCTGACAGGGTGTGGCTGTGGAGATGGCCCTTGTGCTTCAAATGCAGCTAGCCATCTCTTTAACTATCTCTGTGGCTCACTTCCCTTTTCTGGAAAATGGGGATAATGATGCCACCTGTGTCAAAATTTTTGAGTAGGTTAAGAGTTAACACTTGGCATATAGTGAGTACTTGGTGTCCGTTGGATGTTATCAGATATTCACCTGGGAAGTGACTTACCTTAAGCGGTGGGCATTTAAAATAAATCGATAAATGAATGAACGAACAAACGAACGAATGAATGAATGTTAGGCATTGTCCTCACTAATATTTGGGTCATGTAAGTGTAAAAATGATGACTCAGATTTTCCCTGACTTTACCTCCCCCTTTCCACAAGACGATGTCGCTGGGGGGTGCTCCCTTTTGATTATCCAGCTCCCCGTCTTGGTCCCCAGTGGTCCATAGCTCAAGAGGCGAGGTGTGGGACTGGAGTCTCCTCCTCTTCCTCCACCGCAGCCCTGTCTTCTCTTTGCAGGGTTCAAGATACCTCTCCTTTGCCTTCACCTTTGTCAAGGACCAAAAGCAGAAAGCATACTCGGGCCCTCCAGAAGTTAAGGTGCCAGGGGCAGGGGGCTCGCTGGGGTAGAGAAGGGCAGTTTAGCGGGTGCCCCACCCTGCCTGACGCAGAGTCCTTTCTGCACCGCAGGGAGGTGAGCAGGCGCCTCCAAGATCTCCGTTCCTGCCTGAGTCCCAAGCAGCGCCAGAGTCGAGAGGACGAGGTGGTCCTGGTGGAGGGCCCCACCCTTCCAGAGAGCCCCCGACTCTTCCCGCTGAAAATCCGGTGCCGGGCTGATGTGGTCAGACTGCCCGTCAGAATGGCAAGTGCCTGAGGGGCCTGTGGGAGAAGGGTCCCTGGAGCTGCCTGTGGAGCGAGCACGATGTTTGGGCAGAAGGCATGGTGTCCTGCTTTGCCCATCCTGCTGGTGCTCCTCCAGGCCCCCCGAGCCTTGAGTTCGCGCTTCCCTCTGTGCTGGTGGTCTTTTCCTCACTCTCCCGGCAAACTGCCCACCCACCGTTCAGCGCTCCACAGAAGCATCCCGAGAGGCTTGGCTTGGTAGCCCCCTCCCTCCTTCCTTCCCTCAGACCCTGTGCTTCCCATGAGTGCTTGCTTTGACGGTGTTCCACACACAGGTGTCACTCAGGCATTCGGAGCTCCCCCAGCTTCCTGGTGAAAAGGACCGTTTTTGTAGGGATGAGCCCGATGCCAAAACAAGAGTGATAACAGAAATGACCATTTGTTGAGCTGCGTCAGGGAAGCAACTGAGCCAGACATTGCAAACACGCAGCCCATGGCTTTAGCAAGTGCCGTCTTCCTTCTTTCGCCCTTTCATTTATTTATTTTCTAAAAAGGATTTAATTTATTTATTTGTGAGAGAGAGGGAGAGAGAGCACACGCACACACACGAGCCAGGGGAGGGGCAGAGGGAGAAGCCGATTGCCTGCTGAGCTCGATCCCAGGACCCCGGAATCATGACCCGAGCCGAAGGCAGAGGCCTAACTGACTGAGCCACCCAGGCGCCCCTGTAGAATGCTTTTAAAACATAGGGGCTCGTTGCCAACCCTTGCAATGAGTGATTTCCTAAGAAGGACCAGACGCCTGGCCTCTCCTACATGGGGAGACACAGCTGCACCTGTCCTCGAGAGCCGGGGACAGCTGGCCTGTCTCAGGGGGCACAAGTCCACTTTGCTGCGGTCCCCACCATTGCCCTTTTTCCTCCTGATCCACGGCTGCTTCAGTTCTTTGTGTTACTGCCCTGAACCCCATATTGACATGACTTTATTCTGTACTTTGCCAGGCATAAATCTATGGAACTCATGGCTGAGGAGCTCAGGAGGTGGTGGGCGGGATGGGGCATGTCAGGAGGTGGCCTCTTTGGTTCTTGTCCCCTCCCCAGTCGGAGCCCCTACAGCGTGTGGTGGACCACATGGCCACCCATCTTGGGGTGTCCCCAAGCAGGATCCTGTTGCTCTTCGGAGAGACAGAGCTGTCCCCTACCGCCACTCCCAGGACCCTAAAGCTCGGAGTGGCCGACATCATCGGTGAGGGGAAGGCAGGGAGGTGGAGCCTTGAGGAGGCCTTTGCCACAGGGAAGGGATAAAGGGAAAGGCCCAGAGGTTGGCTGGGCTTCAGGCCCTGCTTAGGCCCGGCTTCCCGATCTTCCTTCCTACAGACTGCGTGGTGCTAGCAAGTTCGCCCGAGGCCTCGGAGATGTCCCAACTGCTCCAGCTGCGGGTGCAGGGAAAGGAGAAACACCAGACGCTGGAAGTCTCGCTGTCTCCGGTGAGTTGAGTGGGATGCGTGGCCATCCATGCCCCTCACCCTTTACTCTGCCATCCTGTCTCTCCCGTCGGTTAACCGAGGGGGGCTTCCTACTGGCCCTCAGTGGTTCGGGTTCCCACCCATCCTAGAGAGTGGCAGAAGCCCGTTGTTCAACTTCCCTCCCCTTCGGGCCGGGAATCTCTGCTCTAGTCTCCTGACTCCTCCTTCTGGGTAAAATGGAAAGGCCCCTTGTTTTTTTGTTTTTAAAGATTTTATTCATTTATTTGACAGAGAGAGACACAGCGAGAGAGGGAACACAAGCAGGGGGAGTGGGAGAGGGAGAAGTAGGCTTCCCGCGGAGCAGGGAGCCCGATGCGGGGCTCGATTCCAGGACCCTGGGATCATGACCTGAGCCGAAGGCAGACGCTTAATGACGGAGCCACCCAGGCGCCCCATGGAAAGACCCCTTGTGACAGTGAAACCCGTCGGAGTAACAGCACCAAGCTTCCAAGTGACAGTGCCCGTGCTAGAGAGAATTCATAGTCAGGGGCTTGGCGAGTTTCCCAGCCAAGTTAGATGGAAACTGCTCTTGTTACCCTCATTTAACTAATAGGGATGTGGGTCTAGAGAAGGGGGGTAGTTTGCAGTCTTGGTCTCCTTGGGCTTGCTGTAACCAAATGCCACAAACCGGCTGGCTTGAAACAAATTTATTCCCTCCCAGGCCTGGAGACCTGGAGTTGGAAACCAAGGGGTCAGCAGGGCCGTGCTCCCTTTGAGACCCCGGGTGGAATCCTTCCTGGCTTCTGGGGGTGGCCACCAGTCTGCGGCGCTCTCCGTGGCCTGCCGCTGCATCACCCCGGTCTCTGCCTCTGTGGTCACATGGGGTTGTCCCTGTGTGTTTCTGCGTGTGCGTCTTCTTGCAAGGACACCAGTCACTGGGACCCACCCTCGTCGAGTGTGTGCTCTCCTCTTAACCCGATTACATCTACAAAGGCCCCATTTCCAAATAAGGTCCCACTCGCACTCATCAGGATGCTCGGGACCACAGAGGATCCGTAACACTTGCCCAAGGTCGAGCATCAGTTGAGCGGGAGAGCTTGGCCTCCAGCTCAGGTCATCCTCACTCCACTCCAGGGTCTGGGCTGTCTGCATCCTGGTGACCGATGCCTGCACTGGGACGTGAGGAACTGGGGGCTTGCAGAACCTGCCTGACCCAGAGCCTACATCCTGAGCCTTGGGCTATGGCCCCGTCCCCTAGAGAGGAGCCCGGCTGTGCTGGCTTCTTTGTCCCCGCGCCTTCCCCTCGTGGGCTCTGACAGTACTTGTGCTTCCTCGTCCTCTCCGTCCCGAGTCCCCTGTCTATCTCTACAAATTCTCAGCCCTTCCTTTCAAATTCTTTTTTTTTTAAATAAGATTTTATTGTATTTAAAAAAAATTTTTTTTAAAGATTTTATTTATTTGTTTGAGAACGAGAGGGGTAGGAAGGATCGAGGGACAGGGCCAAGCAGACTTCATGCCTGAGATCATGACCTGACCCCAAACCCAAGAGTCAGACAATTAACCGACTGACCCACCCAGGCGCCCCTTAAGATTTGTTTTTAAGTGGGGCGCCTGGGTGGCTCAGTCGTTAAGTATCTGCCTTCGGCTCAGGTCATGATCCCAGGGTCCTGGGGTCGAGCCCTGCATCGGGCTCCCTGCTCAGCGGGGAGCCTGCTTCTCCCTCTCCCACTCCCCCTGCTTGTGTTCCCTCTCTCGCTGTGTCTCCCAATGTCAAATAAATAAGTAAAAATCTTAAAAAAAAAAAAAAAAAGGTTAGTTTTTAAGTAATCTCTACACCCAGTATGGGGCTCAAACTCCCACAACCCGAGATCAAGAGTCGCACGCTCTTCCGACTGAGCCAGCCAGGCACCCCCCGCCCCCTTTCAAATTCTTACCTTCATTTTTTTCCTCTCTGTCCAGGATTCTCCTCTCAAGACCCTCATGTCCCGCTACGAGGAGGCCATGGGGCTCTCAGGCCACAAGCTCTCCTTCTTCTTTGATGGGACAAAGCTTTCAGGCAAGGAGCTGCCTGCTGATCTGGGCATGGAGTCCGGAGACCTCATCGAGGTCTGGAGCTGAAACTCCCCCTCCCTGTTTGGAGGCCCAGCCTGGACTTGGGGAGAACAGCTGCCCCTTTTGGCCCTATATGGACTTATCCTTAAGCTGATGCAAAATCGAGCAGTGACCTTTGAACCCCCCCTCGTTGACCCCAGTTTCAAGCTGTTAGTTTCCTGGTTAGTTGTGTGCTGGTTGTTGCCGCCCTGGGTGGACTGTGGCTCCATCCACGTGGTATGCTGCGTTTGCAGCCCTCCTGGGACACAGAGAAGGTATCCCTCACCCCCCCGCCTTTCCTTCCTTGAAGTGTCTGTTGTATGAAACCACTCCTATTTAGAGCAAGTGGAAGTACATGGGGGGTGGGTGTGGATTCCAGGCCTGGGGTTTCTGCCGTGCATAAGGCCAGCACTGGCCCTGGGAGGGTATCGGATACAGTTTGCCCAAGGCACACACGTGGGTGTGGTTCCCCAAACAAGCCAGCTCACACACACCCTCACTTGAGCAGGGCACACAGTGGGTTACCCTTTTGTAGGACAGAGGGGATTCTCAGTCCTGCGTGTCTTCCTCACCCCAGCACCCTTTAGAGCCAACCTTCCTGATGCACACACGTTGTTTAAGGCATAATCGAACACATCCAGGCTTTTTTGTTTGGATCTCAGGATGCTAGTCCACGAAAGGCTTCTCTGGTCTTACGGCTTTCTCTTCCCTGTCTTCTTCCTGCCATTCCGGGTGCCCGTTTTACTGTGTGGAGTACATGTCTCTGAACATGAGTGTATGCTTGTCAGATGCACTGTTGTGTGTGGGAATATACTTTTGCGACATGTGCTATTACTGTGCTGCAGACCTTGGGCTGTTCTCTCCCTCAACAAGTGTTGTTGGCTTCTCCGTGCGATTCGAGGCTGGGACCGCTCTGCGGTGTTTCTCGGCGGGCCCCAGCTGTGTCCCACGCGTTCACTAAGTGCTGGACAGCTGGGTGCCTCCAGCTCCTGGCCCGTGAACAAGGCCACGATGGACATCTTCTGTGGCTCCCCTTCCATGCTTACGTGGAAGCTTCTCCGGCATAGGTACCTGGGATGGGATGACGGGTCAGACTGGTTAACTTCCTATGGTTCTACCAAATTTTTCTTTCAATTGGTCATTGAGCCTCCTGGTTGGGGGGGGGGGGCGCCCATTTCTCCTTATCCTCACCAGCACTTGTTGCTGCCCTGCTTTCTCATTTTTTTTGCCAGTTTGTTGGATAGAAAGTGGGGGCGGGTTTCATTGTCCATTTATCTGATCGCCAGTAGTTGGGGGGATTTCTTCATACACCCACAGCCTTCTGTGCACTGCCCTGATGGTTGCAAACAGCTCTCAGGACGGCCCTCGTGTTTGGTTATTTAGTGGTGCCCTTCACCAAACAGAAATTCTCGATTTTAACGTAGATGCTTGAACTGTTTTGTCATATCATTTGTTGCTTTTTGTTTTCTTATTTAAAAGTAGTTTAGATGGTTTACATTTCCTGCTGTTAGCTTGTCAGTTTGTCCTTTCACATTTAGGCCACTAACTAGGGCTGAAGTCCAGCTAGCTCACGTTGTATGCACGTTGGCTGGCTTCTCTTCTGTGTGATGAAACATTGGTTCTCCTTGGTTGATTCTGGGCTGCACTGGCTGCTAAATACTGAGTAGTACTTTTAAACCATTTGAAATCACCTTTGCATATGAGATCCAAGTTTTATATTCACCCCAGAATGAGCCAGTTTTCTCAAGTACTGTCTACTAATAAAGCCATTAATTGTCCACTGTTACATGGTATAATTTTGGCAAAAGTATGTCACCTTCTAAAACCTTCTTTTGTTGGAATATGGCATTTCTTTGACCTTATAATGTGAGAAAAACAGAAAGAAGCCTCTATAACATTTAAATAATCCACAATAGGGTATAACTCTCATTTTTTCCCCCAGATCTTTTATGTCCATTAATAAGTTTGGACACATTAAAAATGTGTATTCGGTCTCAACAAAATAAATGGGAGTACATTCAACTTGCGTCTACTTGAGGATTTCTGTCTTTGTGGCCCTTGCGGGACCCCTGCTATGGCCCCTTGCATCCATTCTTCCCCCCTCCAGGGTAACGGGACCCCTGGTTTTAGCAAAGTGCAGAGACTTGAGTGAGGACAGCTCTTGGAAGCCTCTGTTGTAGCCGGGTGCCAAATTAGCCTTGTGGGTGGAAGGGGGAGAGGGATGCGCCCTGAGGGATGTTTCCAAAAGCGGGCGTGAGCCCCTCTCCTTCACTTTCTTCCTGCCGCTGACACGAGATGACCTTAGGAAAGGAAGCCACACGGGACGGGACAAGGAGAGAAAGAGCCCGGGTTCCCGCCAACCCTGCACTGCTGACCTCCAGGCTCTCACAGGAAGGGGAGCTTCCATCCTGTTTAAAATCCCTGCTCTCTGAGGATTTTTTTTCTTTTTTTTTTTTTAAGATTTTATTTATTCATTTGAGACACAGAGATACAGAGAGAGAGAGAGCATGAGCAGGGGGAGAGGCAGAGGGAGAGGGAGAAGCAGGCCCCCCACTGAGTCAGGAGCCCGACGCGGGACTCGATCCCAGGACCCCGGGGATCATGACCCGAGCCGAAGGCAGACACTTAACCGACTGAGCCACCCAGGCGCCCCTAGAGACTACTCATTTTAAAAGAATTTGCGTGTCTTCTATGATGAGAGAATTAGCCTTTTGATCAAAGGATCACTTGGCAAGTGGTCTTTTTATTTTGTTTTTTATTTTTATTTTTTGGTAATCTCTACACCCAACATGGGGCTCAAATTCATGACCCTGAGATCAAGAGTCACATGTGACTCTGCCGACTGAGCCAGCCAGGCGCCCCTCCAAAGATTTTATTTTTAAGTCATCCCTTTACACGCAATGTAGGGCTTGAACTCACAACCCCAAGATCAAGAGTTGCATGCCCCACTGACTGAGCCAGCCAGGTGCCTCATAGGGTGGTCTTTTTAAACTCTCCTTAAAAAAACCAAAAACAAAACAGAGCAAACAAACAAAAACTCTCCTAATTAAAAACCTTCAAAACTAGAGTGGGCCCTTACTGGGTGCCACATACCAACCTCGGTACTTTTCATGATCTCATTCATCCTTAGAGCGCCTACGAGGTAGGTGGTGGTATTATCCCCATTCCCCAGAAGAGAAACGGGAGTTTGGGGTAGTGAATTTGCCCCAGACCTCATTGCCACCGAATGCAGAGCCAGGCGGAAGACTGGGTGCGCCTGACTTACGACGAGACCAGCGCTTCGCACACTCGAACACACGTGAGCCCGGGAGCTCGTGAAAATGCACACGTGGGACCAGTGTTAAGCTGTGGGGCCCGAGGTGCTGCATTTCCAACGAGCTCCCGGGTGTTGTGATGAGGGCGCTGACCACACTTGGAGGAGCAAGATGTGGTTCTTTTTCCGATAGCCTCACAGCTTCCTGTCTCCCAACCTTTGTCATCCCTTCCGTAAGGCTCCCCCATGGCACTGGCCATGTCCTCTTGTGTGCATCCCAGCTCAGCCCGGGATAGGGGCCTGGCTCAGCACACTCTTCCGCCCATCGGTCTCTGTTTCCCCTACTAGACTGTAAGCTCCTTAGAAACAAATACTGTATCTTGTTCTTCTCAAGGATCCCTAGCTCGGTGTCCGATGCCTCTTAACCCCCATATGCACTCCATCACCCACCCAACTCAGATGCCCCAGATGGCTCTGGAAGGGGTTCACTTCCCTCTCTCTATCCCACCCCGGGGCAAGCCGCCGCTGCTGCCTGCAGCCTGGTCCAGTGCCACAGCCCCCGGGGGCCCCTCAATCCAAGTACAGTGCAGCCAGAGGGATCTTCTCAAATGCAAATCGGAGTTTATTTTTTTTTCAGATTGATTTATTTGAGAGAGAGTGCACACGCACAGGGCAGGGATGGGCAGAGGGAGAGGGAGAGAGAGAGAGAGAGAGAGACACTCTCAAGCAGACTACCTGCTGGCACAGAGCCTGACATGAGGCTCGATCCCATGACCCTGAGATCACAACCTGAGCCTAAATCAAGAGACGCTTAACTGACTGAGCCACCCAGGCGCCCGCAAGTCAGATTTTAAAATGAAGGAAGCCCCTAACGTGCTAGGCCTGGGCCCAGGCTGGCCCCTGCCTGCTGCTGGGCTGGCGTCCCTCCCCTCGCTCTTCTCCACACTGCCCTCCTTTCAGATTCTCGTGCTCATTATGTTTCCTTCTGTGGCAGGGCCTTTGCACGAGCCGTCCACTGCCTCCCGGGAAGTCAGTGGTTGCCCCTCCCCCACATCTGAGCTCAAGGACCACTTCCCCAGTGAGATTCTCAACCTCCCTGACCCAGTCCAGTGGCCCTGTTATCAGTCCTTGTCATACCCGTAAGTCAGATGTCTTTTTTTGTGGCACTGGTCATAGGTGAACTATTTTTTTCCCTAAGAAATTCCACATATCCTTTTGTGTCATAAACCACAGCAAGTAGAACAAAAGTTGGGCTCCAGTTTAAACCAATAGACCTGTACAGACATATTTATTTATCTGATCTTAAAGGAATTTTATTCAAGAGATCCATCAGATTGAAAAAAACACCTGTCCCCAGAGAAGATCTAAATATTTTTCCCATCTGGCAAAACCAATTAGCGTCAAAATATTTGCCTTTATTTCTTTTTGAAAAGATTTTATTTATTGGGCACCTGGGTGGCTCAGTTGGTTAAGCGTCTGCCTTCAGCTCAGGTCATGGTCCCAGGGTCCTGGGATCCAGCCCCGCTCAGGCTCCCTGCTCAGTGGAGAGCCTGCTTCTCCCTCTCCCTATGCCCCCGCCCCCCGCTCGTGCTCTCTCTCTTTCACTCTCGTTGTCTCTCAAACAAATGAATAACAGATGTTATTTATCTATTAGAGAGAGAGCGAGAGGGAGAGAGCACAGGCGGGGGGAGCAGCAGAGGGAGAGGGAGAAACAGGCTCCCTGCCCAGCAGGGAGCCTGATGCGGGGCTCGATCCCAGCATTCTGGGATCCTGACCTGAGCTGAAGGCAGACGCTTAACCAACTGAGCCACCCAGGTGCCCCGGAAGTATATTAATTTTATTTCGAGCGTACGGTTATTATTGTAGCTTGGAGATTGGAGCGGGGGGCACTAAAGAACCACTCCAAGCTATCCTTTGGTGCCAGGGCTCTGTGGTCTCGGAGTCCAGTCCCGCAACTAGGAGAATCCCAGAGGAGACCACTAGAGGGCGCAAGGGCTTCAGTCTCCGTCGGAGGGGAGGAAAACCAGGTCCAGACGGGGCGTGTGGGGTCTGGGACCCTCCCTGCAGTGTCCAGGGGAAAGCTCAGAAGTTGACAGGCAGCTGGCTTGGGGAATCCGAATCATAGGGACGGGGCCGTTCCAGAGGCCGCTGTTCAACATCCATTCATTCAACGCTTCCCGAGCGTGTTTGAAGCCCAAACCCGACACCGAGGAAGGGTAATCGCCGAGAGCGAGAACTGATCGTTGGCATTTCTGGAGATAAACTACTTCCAGAACCTTTTACGATTCCATTATCTCGTTTGATCTCGTTTGATAAGAAGTGTGCCCAGTGGGAGCTGCAGATAATAAAGCGGAGATTCGGAGGGCTGGGCGACTGCACCGGTTCACTGCGACTCCCTGCGGGAACGCAAGCGGAGCAGGAGCAGGTGTGGGACCTTCCCCGGTTGCCCTGGCGACCGGCCGGCAGTCACGTGACGGGGGAGCGGTGGGGGGAGCCGCCGTGCCTCCGTGCCTCCGTAGTCGGTCGGCGGTCACGTGTCGAGGGCTTGCCGGAAGTGGTGTCGGCCCCCGGGGCTCCAGCGTCACATGACCGGCTCCGGGACAACATGGCGGCGGCCGTGGTGCTGCTGCGGGGCTGAGCCACCGTGGTTGCAGCGGGCTCCTACCAGGGGTGAGGGGAGGCCTCAGCCTGGGGAGGCGGGGGGGTCGGCCCTCCCCACCCCGCTCCTGTCCCTGGCGTCCCTCGCCGCGCGCTGTGTCTGCCGGGACGGGGAGGCATGACAGGCAGGGCCCGGGTTCCATACCAGCCGTGCTCCGTGCTTCCGGGCAAGCGCCTGCGGGTGTCTGGGCGCACCTCTCTCGCCTGGGTTCCCTCCATCCTCCTTTCTCCAGCCTCCTCCCCTCGCAGGTGGGATCGTCGGTAGGACCGGGGACCATGTCCGGGTCCGACACTGCGCCCTTCCTCAGCCAGGCGGATGACACGGACGACGGGCCAGTGCCCGGCACCCCGGGGTTACCGGGGTCCCTGGGGAACTCGAAGTCCGAGGATCCCGAGGTCCCGGACGGGGAGGGGCTGCAGCGCATCACCGGCTTGTCTGCGGGCCGTTCGGCTCTCATAGTGGCGGTGCTGTGCTACATCAACCTCCTCAACTACATGGACCGCTTCACGGTGGCTGGTACTGACTGCTGGGAGGGACGTCAGACTAGGGGAAGGGAGGAGGGGTCCCGGAGGTGGGGCTGCCTCGCCGAGCCCATCCCGAGTCTTCTTCCCAGGCGTTCTTCCAGACATTGAGCAGTTCTTCGACATCGGAGACAGCAGCTCGGGCCTCATCCAGACCGGTGAGTGGAGGTCCCTTTCGGACACAGTAACTTTTCTTCCTTTTCTGCCCCAAATGGGGTTACATGCCGGCATGCCTGGGGCCTCATTAATAGAGGTAGGGTGTCCAGACTTAGTGGAGCGGGGAGATGGCCCTTATTCTGCTCTGGGCTGTCCTGTTCAGTTAGGATACCACATTTTAAAAGGCAGTCAGTTTAGTGTAATGGTTCAGACAGACCTGGGTTTAAATCTCAGCTTTCCACTTACTCAGTGTGATGTTAGGCGAGGCCCTCAATCTCTCTAAGCCTCACTTTCCTTGTCGGTGAGATGGAACTAGTAGTAACCCAGAGCACCTCAGAGGGCTGATGTGAGGATTATATGCAAATTAATTAATGCCTGTAAAGTGTATGGTACTGTGTCAGGAGCATGGTAGACACCCGATAAATAATGGCAGTAGGGGGTGTCTGGAATGGGGAGAGTTGAATTTTACTTGTTCGGAACCTTGGGATTTATGGGAGAGGCAAAGCCAAGGCCAAATCCTCTTTTCCTTCCTTTTTTCCTTCATTCACTTCTCGAACATTTCTGAGCACTTACTCTGTGCCAGGCCCTGGAGGAAGAGGTGATAACATGCACAGAACTTGGCCAAGACCTTTTACGCCCATCTAATCCTTCCATCAGCCAAAGAGTTGGTGGTGGTGTTATTTTATAGAAAAAATAGGCAGTACTGTCTACATTTTTATAGAGAAACTGAGGCTTAGAGAAGAGTTAAGGCTTGCCCGGAGTCACACAACAAGTGAGAGGAGAGGAGTTTGAGATAAGATCTCGAAGGGTTCTTTGCTCTGCCCCAGACCAGAAAAAGGACCTCAAGGTATTTAAGATAAAAGTCTAGAGGAACGAGAATGGGATCGTAGATCAAGGTCTGCAAAGCTTTTGAAAAGTTGTTGAGTTAGAGGAGAAGTAAGTCTTTGGCAGTGCCATTCCCTTTTTCATTCAACACATGTTTACCGAGCACCTGTTTTGTGCGACGCCGTGTGTTCAGTGATGGAAACACAGCCGTGACCAATACAGGGTAGGCCCTTGTCTTCATGGAGCTGACATTCTACTGGGCATGACAGGGCACCAGTCCTTAAAAACCTAAACTAATAATGAGATTATTTTTTGGTGGGAGTATTTTGTAAAAGAAAACAGTAATTGTGATAAAGAGAGATTGAGGGGCGCCTGGGTGGCTCAGTTGGTTAAGCGACTGCCTTCGGCTCAGGCCATGATCCTGGAGTCCCGGGATCGAGTCCCGCATCGGGCTCCCTGCTCAGCAGGGAGTCTGCTTCTCCCTCTGACCCTCCCCCCTCTCATGTGCTCTCTCTCTGTCTCTCATTCTCGCTCTCTCAAATAAATAAATAAAATAATCTTTAAAAAAAAAAAAAAAGAGAGATTGAGTACGTGGGGGTTGGGAAGGTATCTGAGCTGGAACCTGAAGGTTCTTTGACACTCAGGCAAGAAGAGAAATGTTCCAGGCGGGAGGACAGTGGGTGCCAAAAGTCCGAAGATGATATTGGGCTTGGCAGTGGGGCCACTGGGATGCAGAGAAGGGGGAGTGGGTGAGCACAAGATTGGAGAGGTAGGAAGGGGCTAGATCAGGTAGTGCCTCACGGGCCATGGTCTGGAGTTTGGATTTTGTTCTTGGCTGGATGGGAGGAAGTGACGGGTCAGCCATTCATTCCACGATGGAAGGTTTGAAAGATGCCAAAGATGGGGCTGGACTTCTCTGGCTGGAAGCTCTGGTAGTTTCAGGGTTGGGAGTTAATCCTGGCCCCCTTGCCCTCCTTGAGCTGGGGTCAGGGTGGGCCAGGGGTCCTGGGGCTGGGCTGTGACTCTCTGCTTCCCCTCAGTGTTCATCTCCAGTTACATGGTGTTGGCACCTGTGTTTGGCTACCTGGGTGACAGGTACAATCGGAAGTATCTCATGTGCGGGGGCATTGCCTTCTGGTCCCTGGTGACACTGGGGTCGTCCTTCATCCCCAGAGAGGTGAGGCCCCATGCTGGCTCCTGCTTCTGGCCCCCCCACTACCCATCAGTCTTTGCTGCTGCTCTTTGGAGTCATTGCAGACTGGGCCTGGGGAACTTCTGCACCTCCCTGGGTCCGTGCCATCCTATATCCCCTGCTTGCCTGAGTTAATCTGCCTACCCCATCCTCTCCCCTGTTCTTCTAGAACATTCTTTTGTCCCTCACCCCCCCTTTCCCCCGACCATTGACTCCTTCCACGCCACACCTCAACACTCACCGTTCTGTACCACGGAAAAGACCTTACCTGGATTGTCTGTTCTCCCTCTTCTCCTTCCTCGTCAGACTTCCCACAAGACCCCCCTGACCCAGCTCCAGTCTGGGTGAAGGAGCAGCCAGGGAGAGGCTCTCGCTTTGCTTGCACTTCCTCTCCTCCCACTCACCCCGGAGCACTGCCGGCCAACCTGCCCCCACCACTCCATTGCCAAAGTCAACAGCGATCTTTTGGTTGCTAAATGTAGCTCCTACTTCCTAATCCTGCTCTTGCTAGATCTCCTAGGAGCCTCTGGCTCTATTGACCCACTTCTTCCTTCCGGAAACTCTCTTCTGACTTCAGTGATGCCGCGTATGCCACTCTTCTGGTTTTCCTCCTGCCTCCCCGGCTATTGCTTCTTTGCGCCCTCCTCTGTCTGTTCCTACTCTCTGCCCTGGAAGTGTGTCCCTAGCTGCAGGCACTACACACATACTCTCCTTGGGTGATCCTACCCTGTCCTTAGCCTCAGGTGTCTTTGGTAGACAAATAAATCTCTGCCTAAGATCCTTATTCACCACTGGGGTGGCCTGGGTGATAGAAGTTAAGATTTATTTTGCACCTGCTGGGTGCAGCGTATTGAATAGAACTTGTAATGTCCAATCCTGGCGATAGTTATGTGAGCAAGTTATTATTTTCCCCCTTTTGCAGATGAGGAATCTGAGGCTCAGAGAGGTTAAGTTGCTTTCCCAAAGTCACAGCTAGTAAGTAGTGGAGCCAGGATTCAGGCTCAGGTCTGTCAAGCTCAGGCCTCCCCCGCCATCCCTGCCGCCTCTCCAGAGCTGGCTGGCAAGGGAGGCTGGGAGGCTGGCTGCAGGGTGGGGTGCCACCTCCCCCATGTTTCGTTTCCCAGCGATTCTGGCTGCTCCTCCTGACCCGGGGCCTGGTGGGGGTTGGGGAGGCCAGTTACTCCACCATCGCACCCACCCTCATCGCTGACCTCTTCGTGGCAGACCAGCGGAGCCGGATGCTCAGTGTGTTCTACTTTGCTATCCCGGTGGGCAGGTGAGTGGGCCTTGGGCCTGGCGGAGGGTGGGGGGGGCGGGGGGCGGGGCACGGGAGGCAGAAGGACCTGGCGTGGGGCAGGACTGACCGGCTGTCCCCTCTCCTCTCCCATCCCCTCTCCCCAGTGGTCTGGGTTACATTGCAGGCTCCAAAGTCAAGGATGTGGCCGGGGACTGGCACTGGGCTCTGCGGGTGAGTGTGGACACAGCCTGGGGGAAGGTCAGCAATGTTCTCATTGATTCTCCCTTTCTTACCTTCAGACAACCCCCCTTTTAAGGCAGTGTTCATTCTGCAAAGCCTGTGTAGGAAGCCTGGCTGCCCTCACCATGAAGCCATGTGCTAGACAGAACTCTTGGTTGTGGGAGACAGGTGCCCCGTAAAACTGTAAGCCCCCAAATGGGACTCTGATGGCTCTTGTAATGGAGAGTCCCAGGGTGAGCTTCAGGTAAAGCTGGATCCAGGACTCCCACTTCCTCACGGGAATTCAATCATCCTTTTTCTCAGCTCCACTTTCCTCTGTATTAATTTCATTCTCAAGCAAGTGAAATCTCCATGCGTTTATCTTCCTGTTTAGAAACTTCGGCACCCTGGATCCTTGAGCAATAGTCCTGGATGGTATCTGATTAGATGAACGTGGGTCACGTGCCCGCCGTTGAATCAATCACGGAGGCCAGGGAGGTTAACATGACTCTTGTCGGCCAAGTCTGGCCTACAAGCCCCGCCCTGTTTGAACTACATGGATTAAGACAAGTGGGAGGAGTAGTTTCCCAAAAGGAAATTAGGGTGCTGTTACCAAAGAGGGAGCAGTTAGGCTTGCAGAAACAGGGGCCTTTGGTGGCATTTGCCCCTCCCTCGGAATGCAGGCTCAGTGCCCGCCTGTGAGCAGATGGCTGCTGGGGATTTGCGGCCTTGGGGCCCGAGTTATACACCGTCACTTTCTCCCAGCCCCAGGGGTTCAGTGTGTCACTGTCTGTGCCTGTCCTGAAGCCCACTCTTTCCCCAGGTGACTCCAGGTCTAGGGGTGGTGGCTGTTCTGCTGCTGTTCCTGGTAGTACGGGAGCCGCCAAGGGGAGCGGTGGAGCGCCACTCGGACTCCCCACCCCTCAGCCCCACCTCTTGGTGGGCAGATCTGAGGGCTCTGGCAAGAAAGTGAGTTTAGTTCCATTCTAGCCCAACATCTGAGGTCCCCTGGGGGAGGCCCTGCTGTTGGGTTTGAGGTTTACAGGAGAGTGGTTGGTCTCTGTTTTCTGTCTGCTGATGGGCCCCCCAAGGCCAGGCATTCAGTCACCACTGCCCCCTTGTGGCAGCTGCTTGAATTACAGGCCCAGATCCGGGGGAGCCAAGACGGCTTCCATACCCAGTGTCCTGCCCTTACTAAAATAAGCCAGGGAGGGAGAGAAGAGGTCCCCTACCCTGACACCTCAGGAGTGTCAGTCTGACTTCCTCTCTCCCAACTGTCTGCAGTCCTAGTTTCATCCTCTCTTCCCTTGGCTTCACGGCTGTGGCCTTTGTCACGGGCTCGCTGGCTCTTTGGGCTCCTGCGTTCTTGCTGCGTTCCCGTGTGGTCTTGGGGGAGACCCCACCCTGCCTTCCTGGAGACTCCTGCTCTTCCTCTGACAGGTACCAGAAGGGGGTGAGGCTAGGTGGCCTGCAGGTGGCAGGGGATGGAGTGGAGAGAGTCGTTGATTCAGACTCAGGCTACTTCCTCTCCCAGTGTCAGTTTCCTGGGCTGGGAAATAGGTGATGGATGGGCTGATTTCTTCTTCTCGGAGCTCTATGACCCATGGGGTCCTTGGATAGACCTGAGTTGTGCGGGTGGCTGGGATGGACCATCTTCTTCTCCAGGCTGTGGGGGTGAGGCGAGGGGGCTTTGCAGGCAGAGGGACTGGCCCCCATGCCCCTCCCCCTGCCCCCAGCCTCATCTTTGGGCTCATCACCTGCCTGACCGGGGTCCTGGGTGTGGGCCTGGGCGTGGAGATCAGCCGCCGCCTCCGCCGTTCCAACCCCCGGGCTGACCCACTGGTCTGTGCTGCTGGCCTCTTGGGCTCCGCGCCCTTCCTCTTCCTGTCCCTTGCCTGTGCCCGTGGTAGCATCGTGGCCACCTATGTGAGTAGCCAGCAGCTGTCAAAGGGGGTGTTCTGGGTCTGGCGTGCACTGGGGTAGGACTGGGGTGCACTGGGGCAAGACTGGGGTCAACCAGGGTAGTGGTTTGGAGACAACTTGAACCAGAATGCCTGGTTTTGAATCTTAGCTCTGGCTCTTCCCAGCTGTGTGACATTGGGCAAGCAAGTTAACCTCTCTGTGTGCAGTTTCATCATCGGTCAAATAGGACTAATAGCTTTGTCTCACAGGGGTGTTCTGAGGATTAAATTAAATGAGTGAATAGTTGGGCCTAGTACACAGTATACCCTCCATGTGTTCGCTCTTCTTGTGATGAGACAACCCCCCTCCCCCCCACCCCGGTCTTCCCCTCCAACCCCCTAGATTTTCATCTTTATTGGAGAGACACTGCTGTCCATGAACTGGGCCATTGTAGCTGACATCCTGTTGGTGAGTACGTGGGTCACTGCAGGGTTAGCCCAAAGGCTGACGGGAGCAAGGAGTGGGGGCAGGAGGCCTCGCTTGCCTTCACTGTAGCCTTTACCCCTTTTTCCAAAACCCAAACCCAGACTGACTTCAGAGTCAGCCCCAGGTGGGCCTGTAGTCTGGGCCTTCACCCCACTCACACCCCTGAGCTGGGGTTCCCTCTGGCCCCGTCCTTGCGCTCTGCCCCCTTCCTCTCCCCAGTACGTGGTGATCCCCACACGACGTTCCACTGCCGAGGCCTTCCAGATCGTGCTGTCCCACCTGTTGGGCGATGCTGGGAGCCCCTACCTCATTGGCCTGGTGAGCACTGCCCCTCGGGTGGGCCTGGGGTGGGGATCGGGGGACCCTGCGTTCCTGGCACCGGCCCGAGCTGGGGCTGCCTTAGCAGGAAGGACTGACCCCAGTGAGGTGTCTGTGCTTTGTGCCAGGCCCCACTCCCCCACTCACCTTGGGCCGTCAGCCCGGCAGGCCGCGTTTCGTCTTTGCGTGTTCCACAGTGAGGCCGTGGGGCTTTCCCTGGTCCCCCAGACCACCCCTCTCTGTTGGTCCCTGACTTCTTTGTTCTTCTGGAGCTCGGGGGCTCCCTCGCCGCGACTCATGCTCCTGACTTTCCTTGTCTCGTCTCCCTGCAGATCTCCGACCGCCTCCGCCGGAGCTGGCCGCCCTCCTTCTTGTCCGAGTTCCGGGCCCTGCAGTTCTCGCTCATGCTCTGCGCCTTCGTCGGGGCTCTGGGCGGGGCCGCCTTCCTGGGCACCGCCATCTTCATCGAGGGGGACCGCCGGCGGGCCCAGCTGCATGTGCAGGGTCAGTGGGGCCTTCCCTTTGTCCACCCGTGGCTCCCCACCTGACTTCACGATAACAACCGGCTTGTCCGTCTGTCCATCTGTCCTGGCCCATGTCCCCGGCCTCTCTCAGCCCACAGCCCTTACCCCAGTCAGCTTTGGGTCTGCCTGTCCACCGAGCTGACGTCCCACCATGCCCCCAGTTCTGGTGGCTCTGCTGCCCCGTCCACTTTGCACTGCCTCTCGGTCCCCTCCCTGGCTTTGTGTCTCTCTGTCCATCCAGCCCTGGCTCTGACCTCTCCCCCCGGGCAGGTCTGCTTCGTGAGGCAGGGCCCACAGACGACCGAATCGTGGTGCCCCAGCGAGGCCGCTCCACCCGGGTCCCCGTGTCCAGTGTGCTCATCTGAGGGGCCGTCGCTCGCCAGCCTGCATACCTACCACGGCTGGCCCCGGGCCCACCTGGAAGGAGCCCAGGCCCAAACCCTCGGCCTGGCCCAGCTTCTAGGAGTGGCCTTGGGCCACGTTCCAGCTCCCACACTACACAGACAGCAGCCAAGGCCGGGGGGGCGGCGGGTCCGGGAGAGGGGTTCCCCTCCCCTGGAGCAGCCCCAGGGGCTTGGTGCTATTTGTAACTGAATAAAATTTGTAGCCAGAGTCCGAGTGCCTGCCTGAGTCTCTCTGGGTGTTACTGACCTCTGACTGGTAGACTGCTGAGTCCGAGTGCCTGCCTGAGTCTCTCTGGGTGTTACTGACCTCTGACTGGTAGACTGCTGGGGATGCCCCCTCCCTAGCCCCAGGACTCCCGGGGCTGTGGGGTCGCTCCTGTGGGACCTTGGGCAAATCCCTGTCCTCCTGGGCCGGGTGAACAAGAGTGTGGAGGGAGCCAGCTCAGTGTGACCGTGAGTCACGCTCGTGTTCCCCCGGAGCCCGCCCCTCTCGGCAGGCCAGCTAGGGTAAGGTGGGGTGGGCACTGCCCCGCATCGCCCCCCCCCCCCCCGCCCCCAATTCCCAGAGGCAGGGCCTCCCTCCTGGCTGCCGCCTGGAGCTGTGGCTGTGGAGGCTGTGGCTGTTGGCTGGCCTCTAAGTGTCTTGCCCTCCTTCTCCTGGTGGGAGTTGCTCCTTGTCCTGGAGGCCAGCAGACCCCCTGTGAGGGCCTTGGGGGTGGCTCCTCAGGCCTCTTCCTCCCCCTCCCCACTGGCTGGGTGGGGGTGGGAAGGGGGCGGGCGCAGCCGGCGAGCCCGATGATTTCCTGCCCTCACCCGGGCTCACCACAGTTTCCTGCCGCAGGCGGGCAGGCGCTGGGGAACGGCAGGCGCCTAGCCGAGGGGCAGGTAGGGCTGGGGCGCAGGGGCTGCGCAGGGGTGACCGGTGGCCCAGAGCCTGGCCGGACCGCCCTGGGATCCCCAGTCTTCCCCAGCCAGCGCTGACCACCCCACCCCCCCGCCCCTGGCGCCGTCCAGCAAGGGGAGGGGGCCGAGGGAGGGCCCAAGGAGGGCGCAGCTGTCCCCCACCGCCGACTTCCAGGCTGGTGCCCACTGGGCTCCTGCGCCCCTGCCGGCCCAGCCCTCTCCGTGCGCGTGCGGCGGCTCAGCCCTTGAGGGCAGGCGACGGGCCCGAGCTCTCCCCCCCCCCGCAGATGGAGGCCGTCGTCCTCATCCCCTGCGTGCTGGGCCTCCTGCTGCTGCCTCTGCTGGCCGGAGCGCTGTGTGTCCGCTGCCGGGAGCTGCCCGGTGAGTGGGGGGGCCTGCCCGTGGTGCACCTGCAGGAGTCTCCGGCCCTCCTCGACCCCTCGCTCCCTCTTAGCCGTCCCTAACTCTGCCCTGCGCGTCTGGGACCCGAGGGCCCTGCACTCCCGCCCTCTCCCCTGTCACCCCTCGTCCTGCCTCACCGGCTTCTCTTCCCCAGGCTCTTATGACACTACGGCCTCTGATAGGTGAGTGGCCCGTGGGCCCTGTGTGGCCCCGGGGACTGGGACGGGAGCGGGGGGCGTCTCCGGGCTCTGACCAAGCTGTGTCTCTCCTTCCAGCCTGACCCCAAGCAGCATCGTGCTCAAACGGCCTCGTGAGTACCTGGAGGGTTCCCTGGTGTGTGAGAGAACGTGTGCCTTTGTTCAGGGTTCCCCCCCCCACCGCCCCAGTGGCTGCCCACATGGCCTCGACCTGCGCTGGGGACGGGGAGGGAGATGGGTGTCCTCGGGCCTGTGCAGGGCATGGGACGGTTCATGGGGTTAGTCTGTTCATCGAGGCCTCCGCGAGGACAGGCGCGACATGTCTGGACTCACTCCTTGAGCCTGGTGCTGTGTCCTCAGCCACAGTTGTACCCTGGCCATCAGCCACCTCCTACGCTCCTGTCACCTCCTACCCATCCCTGAGCCAGCCGGACCTGCTCCCTATCCCGTAAGTAGCATCCCCCCTTCCAAATCCCCCCTCCTTCCCCCCTCACCTCTGTAGATTGGCGGGGGGGGGCGGTCGTCTCTTTCCCGGTTGCCACCCCTCTTGCCCCAGAGCCCCACCCGGGCATGACCTCTGACCTTTGACTGCCAGGAGGTCCCCCCAGCCCCACCACGTGCCGTCTTCCCGGCAGGACTCAGAGGGTGGTAAGTGCGGAGCCAGGGCTCAGGGGGCTGGGGCTGGGCAGAGGACGGACCCCACCCGAGCTGACTCAGCTTCCCTCTTGCTCGCTCTCCGAAGCCAACAGTGTGGCAAGCTATGAGAACGAGGGTACGTCGGGGGCCCCGGGGGCCCTGCTTGCGGGGAGGCTGGGGCCTGGCCCGGGCCCTGTTGATCACCGTGTCGCTACCCCAGAGCCCGTCTGTGAGGACGAGGAGGAGGAAGACGAGGACTATCACAACGAGGGCTACCTGTGAGTGGCCAGGCCCCGGGAGGCAGGGGGGAGGGTCGTGGGGGGCGGCTGGAGGCCATGGCCCGGGGCCCTCGCTGACCCGCCCCCCCCCCCGGCTACCCCTCAGGGAGGTGCTTCCCGATAGCACGCCAGCCCCCAGCAGCGCTGTCCCACCGGCTCCTGTGCTCAGCAACCCCGGCCTCCGAGACAGCGCCTTCTCCAGTGAGCTGGCCGTTCCCCAGTCTGGGCTTCCCTGCCCCGTGGGTCCCCTGCCGCCTGCCGCCCCCCACCGTCTCTCCTCTCTCTGTCTCCCCAACACCTGTCCCTCAGGGTTGACTTCTGCTCGACTCCTCCGAGTTCCTCCCTTTTTCCGCCCCCTTTCCTGTTCCGTGGTCTTTCCCTTTGACTGCCTGCGCGCTTTCTTGGACTTCACTCTTCTCTTGGACTCTCTTGTCTGGTCTCTCCCACCAGAAGCTCTTTCTCGGTCTCTGGTGTTCCTTTCTCAGAGCCTCCTGTCTGGTTTCACGGACGCCGCGTCAGCTTGTCGCTCTCCAAGGATATTGATTATAGCCGGGCTTCTGCGGGCGGCGGGGTCGGGGTCGGGGTGTTGGGAAGTTTTCTTCTGCTTCCGGCATCATTTCGGTTTCCTTTGAGCGGCTTTTCTCCCTTCGTGTGGGCCTCACGCTGCCCGTTAGAGGCTGCCTTCCATGTCTGGTTTTCCGTCCCTCTCCTCGTTCCCCGTACCCTCTGCCCGCTCGGGCACCCACTGCCCTCTGTGCTAGTGCTTCTTTCCATTCATGGATTCATCGGCCCTCCCTCCAGCTCAGGAGGCGGCATCAGGGTAAGAGCTAACGTAGTCGGGGGCCGACCACCTGCCCTCCTGAGAGCGCTTCGTGTGTTAACTTATTAAACCCCACGACGCCCGGGTGCTGTTGAGCCCATCCCTCCCCCTCCGGCGCCTTGGTTGTCCCGACTGTACGACAGGAGGGATTATTTATTTAACAGACACTCAGCGGCACTTACCGTAGGACAGGCCCCGTTTCGATACTCTCTGCGTTAGTTCTCACAACAGCCCTGGGAGGCGGGGGCCGTCGCCCACCCTCTCTTCCTGATGAGAACACCGAGGCCCAGAGGCGTTAGGTATCTCGTGTGAGGTTACACGACTGTGAGCCCCGGAGCTGGACTTGAACCTGGGCCCTCTGGCTCCAAAGCCTGCCTCGTCCACGGCCTCCCTCGTGGAGAAACAAGTGCGCATTAAAGGCCAAGATGGCGCCCATGGCGACGGGTGCTGACAGGGCCGGGGGGCAACAGCACCTGGGACTCGCGGTGCCACCCCGAGCCTCGGCGCCGAGCCGCTCTCCTGGGGGACATGGGCAGAGGACGGACCCTGCCATCCATCCCCTCCCACGGTCTCACTCCCTCTCATCAGCTCTGGCCAGGTTGCCCTACTTCGCGCTGTCGCCAAGGCCTCTGTGGGCCCCCCCGGGGCTGGCTGTGGGGCGGCCTCTAGGATCTGGGGGGGGGGGCGTCTGGGGCTGGGACGCCGTGGGGGTCTGTGCTTAGGCGGGCCCTGGGTGACGGTGCTGGGGGCCCTGCTTCTCCTGCAGTGGAGTCGGGGGAGGATTATGTGAACGTCCTAGAGAGCGAGGAGAGTGCAGACGTGTCTCTGGGTGAGTGGCCAGTGCCCGCTGGGGTCCCCCCCCCTCCCTCCCTCACCCTGCCGTGGCCCTCTTTCTGAGTGTCCTGCTCTTTCACCCTCCACGTGGCTGCCCCCCCCTTCTGCTCTGCCCCCTGCAGATGGGAGCCGGGAGTATGTGAACGTGTCCCAGGAGCTGCCGCCCATGGCTAAGACTGAGCCTGGTGTGTGCTGGGCTGGGAGAGGGGATGGGGGGGGCGGGGGCGGCGGAATCTCTGGGAGCCTGTGGGGGGAGGGGCATCGGGGAAGGGGGGACAGGGACGGTCTGTGAGCTGAAGACCTCCCTCCCTCCCCTCCCAGCCATCCTGAGCTCCCAGAAGGTGGAGGATGAAGATGACGAAGAGGAAGAGGGAGCTCCAGATTATGAGAATCTGTAGAGGCTTAACTGAGGGTCCGGTGAGAGGCCCCGCCCGCCCCACCCTGCCCCACCTCAGCCCTATCCTCCGACTCCTTCGGGGAGCCCTCTGAGCCCTGCTCACCTCCTGACTTCACAACCCCTCCCTTCCCCTGCCCTCTCGTTTCAGCGCGAAGCCATGCCTGTCCTGGAACCAACCTCGCCTGGGAGCCCCGAGTTGGGCAGCCGGCAGGACTCTGGGGGGGGGTCCCAGTGGCACCTGCCCTGACTCCAGCCTGAGATCCGTCTGAGACTCTCCCCCCTAACTTATTGTCACTTTGGGGTCCAGCCTGTGTGCCCCCAACACTGCACCTTCTGACGCAGCTGAGAATGAACTACCCCGGCCCCAGCCCTATTCTGCAGTAGAATAAAGGCTGACGTGGTCTGTAACGCTCTTGCTTTTGGAGGGCCTGGTGGGTGGGAGTCCGTGTGAGGGGGGGCTGTGCCCGAGCGCCCGTGTGGGAGTGTGTGTGTGTGTGTGCGCGTGCACGAGCCTGTGTGTGTGTCTGGGGGTCTCGATCCCCCACCCCGGGGCCGCTGCTCTCTGGAAGGTCCTGACCAGGTACTGGGAGTGGCCGAATGGTGGCAGGGACACAGCTCTGGCACTCTGGCGTGAGGCAAGTCCGACCTAAGCTGCCACTTCTGGGCTTCGGTGCATCCCCCCATGAGACAGTCCATGGACGCGGCTGGGATGATGGGAGGGCAGGGCCGGGGGGAGCCCCGGGTGCCGGGTGGTTGCCTAGAACAAGACTGCTTCTCCCCCCCCCCCCCGCACCGCCCTCAGTTTCTCCATCTTTAAAACAAGGGGACGGACTGGACGCCGGGCAACTGAAAGGTAATGTGCAGTGCAGCCTTTCCTGACCCTGGTGTGCAGATGATTCCCTTGGAGGTCTGGCTAAAATGCAGATTCCGAATGAGTAGGTCTGGGATGGGGCCTGAGAGCCTGCGTTTCAAAGGAGCTACCAGAGGCCTCTGACAGCTCTGTTACGAGAACCACACTTTGAGCAGCTTCTGGTGGATGCCTCGGTCACTGTGACTGGCTCTGCTCTGGGCATGTAACCTAACCCGGGCCCCTGAGGACTGGCCCTGGGATTTGGGCAGGAAGTGTCTGGAAGGCGAAGCTCTTCTTGTTCATGGCAGTTGGTAAGCTGGAAGAATATATTCCTAGAGCCCCTACTTGGAGAGCCTGCCTGAGAATGAAGGCGATGTGGAGGACAGAATGGTCCAGAGGTGGACAGGGCCAGCTTCCGGTTGGAGTCCGAATTCCTGGATCCAGGCACACCTGAAGCGAGACACCCCCTCCAGCTTCCCAGTTACTTGGGCCAATAAATTCCCAGTTGTCTTCAACCGGCTTGACTTGGGGTTTCTGTTGCATACAACAAAGTAGCCCAGAGTAATGCACAGAGTTGTCGGCGTCCTCTGTGGGCTTCAAAGGCAATAGTAACAACTTATCTTCAAGCATCCGCCATGTTTCCATGCTTATCTCATTTAATCACTGCCATTCCCCTCTGAGCAGTTTACTGGGGGTATCCCCATTCACAGGTGGGGAAACGGGCCCAGAGAGAAGCGATTTGCTCAAAGGCACACAGCCAAAGTGGTAAATCCGGGATTCCATCCGCAGCTGTTGGCCTCTGGAGTCCCTGCTGCCTCCGTCCTTGCTCTGGCTGGTTGTCCAAAGTCCCGGCTGCTCTCCAAGGGAGGCTTGCAGAGGCCCGATTGGAGAAGTGGGGGAGGGAGGCCTGGGGAGAGGGCTGGACAGGCTGGACGTCAGCAGGCAGAGATTATTTGGAAGAAACAGACAAGGGAAGAGGCACCTTTGTGCTTGGGCCAAGGAACAGAAAGTTTATCAAAAGGTATGTTCGTACGAGCACCTTGGAGAACAATCTAGCAGCATCAGTAAGGCTGGAGATGGTGGGTCCCTTTACCTAGCAAATTCCTGGGTATAAACCCTGAGTGAATAGCCCACGGGCTGAGGGGGCGGGTCCCAGAGGCTGGGGCGGCCTTGGCCTTGCGATGGCGATGGGCAAGGGCGGACAGAGGCCATCACTGGGAGACTGGGTGGAGCACTTATAGCCCAGTCACACTGTGGGTGGATGCGCCCCAGCAGGTAAAAATGAGCGTGCCGGGGGAGCACCTGTCAGCGCAGATAAACATCACCAAGGGAATATGGAGTGAGAAAAGGAAAACAACTTGTTTTATTTATATGAAGTTGAAAGCCTGATATTATCTGGTTCAAGGATACACACGTATGCGAGATAGGCAAAGCAACGAGGAATACCAAGTCCAGGGGAGAGGCAACCATGCGGCAGAGTATGCGGAATGGCTGGGGAGGCATTCAGGAAGGCCTCGGCGATACGTGTACTGTCTTAATCTTAAGCAGGGTTGGGTTTGCAAGTGTTTGAAATATTATTCTCTTAAGCATTTGCTTATCTGAGCGATTTCATAATAGAGGCCAAGGCTCAAGGAGGGAATGGGTGGGGGCAGGGGTTAGGGTCGTTTTAAGAGACTGTAAGCAGGCTGAGAGTCACGGATCTGTCTGGGCCAAGCGGGTGAGTTGCATATGATGTTCCAGCCTCAGGAGCAGCATGTGCAAAGGCCCTGAGGTGGGAGCAGAGAGAAGGCTGTTGGGAATATGTACAGGAAAGGTGGTGGTAGGCTGGCTAAAGAAGGAGGGACAACGGAGAGAGGTGGTAGGATGAGATGCTTGAGAGGCCGAAGCAAGAGGCGTGGTGACAGCCCTGCACTGTGAGGCAAGGGGAAGTCCAAGGTGACTCTGGTCCATTTCTTGGTGGACTGGGGATAAGGGCATTCCCTGAGGCACGAAGCAGCTTCCCATTTTTGCTTCTTGGACCAGCAAGAACATGTGGCTTTGCTTCCACCAGTCGATGAGCCAGGCAGGACAGACAGTCAACGCAATGATGTCTATGGGGCCGGGGCTGGGGTATCTGAGCCCACCGGGGTGGCCAGTGGAAAGAATCTCCTAGAAGCTGGGGAACAGAAATAATTTTTTTTTTTTTCTTGAAGTCTGTTGTCGGAGGAAAGATCGATGTAGTGATAAGAGAGAGTGTTCTCTGGAATCGCTGGGGGAGACATCTGGGTGCTTCTAGAAGCCATCGATAGGCAACAGCTCTCTTGATTTGGGTTCTCAGAGGCAGTCCTTGAGGTGAGAGTCCTAGTGCAAGTGGTTTATTTGGGAGGTGGTCCCAAAACACTAGCAGAGGAGTAGGGGAGTGAGACAGGAAGAAGAAGGCGTCCAACAAGGGTGCATTATAAAGCCAGTTACTATTGGGCCCTGGGGCACGGTCCTGTGACAGCATGGTGGGAGCCAGCCAGAGCATGTGGGTGACACCAGAGCACGTGGCTGTAGGCCAGGCTGTCCTGGGGAGGGAGCGGGGGTACTTCCACATTTCTGCCCAGTAGTCCCCACACCCAATTCTCCAGAACCTTTGCCTTCCGGTGGCCAAAGCAATCCTTGAGCCAACAAAGGTAGGTGTCGGCAGCAGCCAGCCGCTCAGGCCAGGACTCACTGACAGTGACGGCTTGGGCTCTTTGTGCCGTTTGGTGTTGTTTTTCCCCAAACGCATCTTGTGGCCTCTGAGTCCTGGGGGAAGCTTCTCAAGAAAGAATTCCGTGGTCGGGAGCGCCGGGGAAAAGCAGCGTTCTCTCATTCCCCCTTGCAGAGACGAAACGCGCGGTAGGAAGTTCATGGCCGGGGAGAGATCCTGGGATAAAATAATCTGTTTCTCTTTGCCTAATCTGGTATTTCCCAAACTTCTTTGAGTTTGGGGGGGGGGGTAGTTATTATTAGCAATCTGCAGACCATCTTATAACCTCCAAAGAGGGAATTTTTTGTTTTCGCCTTCCTAGCATCCATTCCTTCTTCCAATGCCGCGCCGCCATCGGATTTGCTTTGGGAAATGTTCCCACGGCTCCGCTTGGATGCTTGGGACTGGATGCGCACGGGACCCGAGATGGCCAACCGTTATCTCCCACCCCCTGGCCCAGTAATTGGTTGATATTGGAACACGTGGCCCAATTCAGGCCAATGAGACACGTTCCTGAGACTTTGGGTGGAACTCCTGGCAAAGAGAAGCTCTTCAGGCCCTGGGCCTGCGGCCGAGGGGGAGGTCTCTGCTTGCAGGGTTTGCAGGCTTCCATTGTGCAAACCTGTGCGTGAAGGCACCACAGAGGCAAGCAGAGGACAGAAATGGAAATAGAAAAGTGGAATTCTGATCGCCCCTCTAAGCACCCAGATCAGTGTTCCTGAAGCCATTACTTCTTGAAGAGCCAATCGACTTTTTTATGTGTGTGCTTAGGCTAATTTGAGCCAGGCTGTCTGTCACTTGCAGAAGAAAGAGTTCTAACATCACCATGGCTGCTATCATGTCCACCAAATCGTGACCACCATCAGGCCACCCTGGTCTAATGATGAGCACCTAGTAACCCATGTGAGACAACTGCAGACTCCCCTGTTCCCTCACCCTCCACCTCTTCTAACTGCTTCTCGGAGACACCCCGGAGAAGACTTTAAGGCAGGTGGCCCATCTGTCCCAGGCACCCCTCCCTCGTGCGTGCCCCGCATCCCATTCCCCCCCCCCCTTTGATCCCTTCAGGAAAATCTCTCCAGGTTTTCCTTACTTCTGCTTCCTTTACTTGGTATTCTTAGTCTCGGAGCTGATAAGCAATGATTCCAGAAAGAGGACCACGTTTGGTGATAAGCACACAGGAATACAAGTGAGGAGACTTCGTTTTAGTCCCGACTCCGCCACTAGATTTCTGAACTTTGGGGACCTTTGAGGATGTTGGACCTCAGTTGTAAAACCTTCTCATTCTGAGGTCCATAGCCCCAAAAGGTGTCCCCGGAAGTAGAAGGATGGGATCCCTGGTTGCTGAGAAGGTAGGAAACGATCAGGGGTGGCTGGAGTCAGAGGCCTGAATATTATCACCACCTTCTAGTTTCTCTTCAGCCCTCCTTTCTCTAAC